ACAAATTTATATAATATAATTTTCTTTAAATTTGTATTTTATTATTATATATATATAATTTATAATAAAATAAATATTTTTACTGTTATTTAACCTATAAATTCTATTATTACTTGAAATTGCTACTGTTACTGTTACTTGAAATTGCTACTGCTATTTGAAACTTATATTGTAAAATTTTGTATAGAATTTTAAAAAAAATTAAAAAATCTATGCAGATTTACATTTTATTATAAATCTGTATAGATTTTTTAATTTTTTTTCTTTATTAATTATCACTAGATTTGAAGTTTTATGCAGTTTTTGAACTTGAAGATCTGTGCAAAACTGTATTCTCAAAAATTTTCTGATGAATATTATTTTATATTAAATATTTATAAAAAAAATTTAAATAGTATAGTTTTAAAAATTACTTTAAATTAATAAATTTTAAATTAGATAAGTTTTTTTAATAATATTATTTAAAATTAATATATATTAATTATTTAATTTATTAATATTTTTATAAATATTATTAATAATTCTTTTAATAAATCAATTATTTTATTTAATTCAATTTAAATTTAGCAAATTAAGGATTTTAAATTATATGATATTTTTAAAATTCAATTTATTTTATTTAATTTAATTTAAAATTAGCAAGAGTTTTAATTATATAATATTTTTAAATTTCTTTATTAATTTTCTTAATTAGATAATTTTAATATTAAAAAAGATATTTAATTAATTATTATTTCTAATTTCTAATTAAATCAAGTTATATTTAAAATTATTATTAAAAATTATAATAATTATAAAATTAATATTAAAATTTCTTTTAATAAAAATCTTTAATAAAAAAAATAAAATATATATTTCTATTTATAAAATTAATAATAAATAATAAATATAAAAAAATAATAATTTTAATAATAAAAAATATAATTTATAAAATATAAATTCTTATTAGTTAATTATATTAAAATATAAAATAATAATAATTATTTATAATTATTATATTATTTATAATTATTTTTATATAAAATTAAATAATTATAATATATTATATATTAAAAATAAATTTGTAATATTTTTTATATATTATATAATATTATTAAAATATAAAAATTATATAATTAAAGCTTTTTATTAATTTAAATCAGATTTTAAAATATTCTAATCTAAATTAAAATTTTTAATTCAGATTAAATATTAATGAGATTAAATTTAATTTAAATTTAAAATAATAATATTCAAATTGAATCAGATTTAAATTAATTTAAAAATTATGATAACTTAAATATGAAATTAAATATACAAAAAATAATAAGATTCAAATATATAATTCTATTACTAATTTTTCTTAAAGATTTGGTTATATAAAATTACTTATATAATATTAAAATATATAATAAAAATAAATAAATTTTTAATAATTTGATAAAATAAATCTAATATAAAGAAATAAAAAATATAATATAAGAAATTTATATTTAAAAAAGTATTATTTTATCAAATTATATTATATAATATATTTTATTAATTAATAATTAATTTTTTATTATTAAATTAAAATTTCAAGAGAAAATTAATAAATTCTTAAAATATTCTAATTATTTATAAAATTATTTTATAATATTTTTATTAGAATATAAAAATTAGTAAAATAATATAATCTTCTTGTTATATATTAAAGTTTAACAAGATATTTATACAAATTTAAGTTAAAAATGAATAATTTCATTTAAATTTATAGTTTATAGTAAATATTATTTTATTAATATTAAAAATAATTATTAAAATATAGAATAGAAAAAAATTATTTGTAAATAATACTTTATAATTATATAAATTATTAATAATATAAGTAATACTTTCAAAAGATACTTATTATATAAAAATTATAAATAAATAATATTATATTAAATTAAATATGTAAAATAGAACTTAATAGAATTTTATGCTATCATATATATGGAAATAGCCAACTAGAAAGAGGTGTAGTCATATCAACAACTATTGTATTATTATATAACATATATCAAAATCTTTCCATGGTGGCAGAGTACGCGATCGGGACTTCAAAATCGAATCTTTCTAATAAATAAACAAATTTACATTATTTTTAGCCACATTATGGATAAGTGTGGGGCTATTAAAATGGGGTGGTTAATGCGGCAATTACGGTAAGTTTTATTTTCGAGAAAGCTCAACTTTTGAAGTCAAGGTCAGAGATCGATAATCAGTTATCGCATTATTTAACAATAAGAGTAAGATTCAACACATGTATTTGTGTAATTTAAAAGAAGCACAAATTTTTATTTGTTCCATGTTTGAAGGAACGTTATGAACAGAAATTGCTAGATTTGTGTCATTCATTTACATGTATACTACTGTAACGTTTAAAAAATAACAGTAATCTGAATTAGTTATCTGTAACGTGTAAACTAATAAAATGCAAACATTACGCTTACTCGGAATTCATTTTTTCATGGCATCATTGCATCTGTTCACCCAATGATAAACATCATTTAAAAAATCCTCTGCTATCTGCGATTCATTTTTCAGCCAATCAATATTTGCTTCTTGATGTCTAATCGTGTTCTTTGATATAGATAATGAATCTAGCACCATCTTGATGTTTTCGTAGTGATTATACCTAAAAAAAATCAAATTAGTTTGATCTTAAAAATAACAAATTATGCGATAGAAAACGAACTTTAAGTCGTCCAGTAACTCCAAACATTTGTCAATTTTTTGGTCATCTGAACTACGATTATTGATCATCTTTTGCAATTTTATCTTTGTAGCATCCATTTTTCCTTGCAGCTTAATCAGGTCTACAATGTTTTTTACGATCAGACCTCTCAATAAAATATGATACTTATTCACTCTTTTTCTTCCCTTATTCTTTACAGCAGACTTCCAAAAAAGTTCGTTCTTGCAAAAAACTACCATCTCGTTGAAAATCTGTTCTAGAATTGGGTCATGTTTATATTGTCGAGATTCTTGTCGTTGGAGAGCACGGCGAAACCAAACTTGGATTTTGGTAGCTGATTCTTTGGCCTGAAGAGAATCGTGAATTCGACGAAACCAAGCTTGGATTTCTGTGGCTGAGTCTTGATTTTTGTTGGATATTTCAGATTTTTCACTGTTCCGCCTATGAACTCCTGGTGACATTATTTGCCGTAGAGCAAAATAAAATTGTTTAACAGACTTATATTCAAGCTTTATAATCCCATGTTGCTCTAAGTAAGAAAATTTTGACGAGCCGCCTCCGTGATAATGGACAATTACCAAGGAATCGCAATCTGTCTCACTGAGATCGTTGTGAAGAACGAGTGCAAGGCGACTCATCATATAAGATTCATTCAAATATCTTATGATCTTTGGAGAAAATACATTTTCTTTCAGAGGTTTGGCCCAATTTTTGAAAAGATTAAAGATCTTAGTTCCAAAATTAGATGATTCTTTTAGACCTATGAGTATTAGGAGCCGCATTAATCTAAGTATGGTGATCAAGTAATACTGCCTAGTGAGAATCAGCAGATCGAGAAGCCGTTGAATTTGATCAATGGAATCGTTGAGTTCAGCCAGGTAACCAATTTCATCATAACCGTCTTGGTTGGGATTAAGCGGTTCCGCGGTAAATGCGTCAAAATAATTAACCAAATAAGCACGAGGAAGGCAAAAATCGCAATATCCAGGACTAATTGCAAAAACCAAAGATATTTTAAACTCCATTAAAGATATAAGGTCACCAAATGCATCGGATGTGTTTATATTGACTAGGTCAATTTTGTCGATAATGTATTGAGTAAAGATTTTTATGTGTTTGATCGCACTTATAACATGATTGTCATAGAGGCATGAAAAGAATAATGAAAGTCGCTTTCCAACAGGAGTAGTTTTATAATATCCCTGGTACATGTAATATTCAAACCCGACAGGTGATTCTTCAGGGTATTTTTTCCTTGACATTGCCCATCTGAATTCATTAATCCCCCATTCGTCGTTTAATTGGTAAAGAACGAGCATACACTTTAACATGACCGAAAAATCATTGAGCTTAGTAAACACTTGAGGAAACCAAACCTTATGGGCAAATTCAATTAATTTATAACGTGTTTGCTTAGGCTGTTCGGCAAGCACCGCATAAATGACTTCGGGACAGCTTGTTTGAGGAGATTGATAGCGAATATGAAATAGCACAAGCTTTTCAGCCCAATATCTCTGTGGTTGACGAACTCTTTCACTTTGTTCTTCCTTAAGAATACGGCGATGATACAATGCATCAAGTTTTCGTATCACAGTATATTGTAGGCAAGCAAGTGAAAAACGTTTGCGTATAATGGAAGGTGTTGGAATAACGTGATGCTTTCGACAATCATGCTTAAAACAGGACGTAAATTTGGAGCAAATTTCAGAGTCTATATCCGGGATTTCTTTACCCTTCTGTCCAGCCTCGTAGATGTGTTCATAAATATACGAAGCAAGTAATTTTGAGATAGCTGAATTCAAAATATTCTCGTCATATACAAGCCATTTATCTGAGACTTCTACAGCATCCTCCATAATATTTTGATTCAGAAAAAAGGCAATGTGGTTGTCAACAGATATTTTTCGTTTATGTGGGCAGTTTTCATCTTTGCTTACAACGAAAATATCCTGAAAATTTTTGTTGATTTCTTCAATATTGACATTTGCATTTTTTCGAGGAACTAAAAAAGGAAAGGTCAATTCACAAATCCTCAAAAGACATCGCAATCTTTCTTGCCAGTTTTCAGCTCTAATATCAAATCTTGTTACATGTATATGCAGCCATATGATTACCGCACGAAACTCAGTGACGCAGTCTTTAATCTTATTAAAAAATTGCATGGACTTTCGAATTCTATCGAGATCAGAATTTAAGTAAGCTTGATATAGATAAACTTCTTCTTTTAGTTTCTCCCACTCCTCAGAACTCTTCAAAGATTGAGATTTGACTTTTGTAATGATGCTTTTTGCCTTGAAAAGACCATTCTTTAGCTCTTCAGAGGAATTCTGGTTCACAAAATTTGACATCGTTATATTCAGTATTTTGACTCTACAAAGATGTAAATAACATCGTAAAGACTCCATGATATCATTGTCATTGTCAACCGAGTGGAGGAACATATCAGCTGCCTTATTAAATTCCCCACGCGAGCGTAAGTCTTCAGCAGCGAGACGAAATTGGCCACTCTTCTTGCAGACTTCCTGAAGTTCTTCAGGAGCATGTTCTCGAAGGAGATTCATTTGATCCTCCTGTGTTGGAAGAATGGAGAGAGCTTTTTTGCTCATTTTCATGTCATTCATCCGACGGTAATGGATGTTGACAAGACGTGTGATACGATTGAATGTTCTCTCGTCAATTTCTTCTCTGTGACTTATTTAAATAATACATGTAATAGGTTATATCGTTTCTGAAAATCAAGCTTTACTTATTATTCGCAATATATATATATATGAATACCTTTGCATCAAATCAATGACTTTTTCATAATATCGACCATCTTTATAAGCAAGAACTGCTTCGGTGTACTTATTCGCCATTTCAAAATACTTTCCCGCATATTCAAAATTAGGAACCTTAAGATAACAACGTGCGGCATGCTCAAACATGCACTCTCCAAGGTAAATTTCAGCAGCCTTTTCATACATGTTGATATCCTGTACGTTTGCAAATTTTTAAGATTCAATTTAACATATTTATGTATACTAAATTTAAAAAGATACCTCATAGCATGAAGCCTCTTGTATCGGCCGAGAACATTTTCGAAATGCATCAGCTGCGAGATAAAAATTTAAAATCACAGTGTCCCAATCGGAATCATTTATGGAGGCTCTTGCTTTTTGCCGAAGATGATAGGCCTTAGCTCGTGCAATTTTTTCCCAATTTTCACTCTTCTCGTAGCAAAAAATAGCCTGAGATAATTTTACGTTTTTCAGTTTCCCATTCCATTCAATTACATACCAAACTTTAAAATTAGAGTTTAACCTGTTTATATTTTCGTAATTCGAAAAATTTATCCCCTTCTCGATTCCATTCTGCTGGACTGCTCGTTCTAGCTAACGTAGGGAAAGAGCTGGCCTCATCCTCACTCCAGATCACTTTGACTAGCCCATTTCGCTCCCAGTATCTGCAGATTGGTTCAATATATTCATCATTCTCGTCAAATATCCAAATGTGTTGCCGTGCCCTGGTGACTGCAACATAAAGGTGCTTCAATTCAGAGGAAAGGATGTAATGTTTCTCGTGGGAAAATGTTTGAACTTCTCCAGATTGGTTTCCCAAACCAGAGAGAATAGCGCGCCACTATATACATATATAGCCAAGACTTTCAATAAAGATTTGATGTAAATGGTAAATAATGCATAAATCTTTACCTTTAGACCGCCAGGCGAATCGGTAAAGAAATTATATAACAACACGTCATTAAACTCCATTCCCTTCGCTTCAAACACTGTCAACACTAGCCCTTTCTTTCCAATTAGATCCTCGACTCGTGATTTCGATTTTTCGTCACGTACGATAATGACTTGTTCGGCTCCGAACTCGATATAATTTTCAGGATTTTCACCGGCAGAAAAGAG